ACACGTAGTAAGCGGAAAAAACGTCTTTCTTTGCGTTCTCTCCTCGATTAAAGGTAGCGCAAATGCAATTGTAATTGTCTATGGGCAGCGATAACTTCGCTAATTTAGCTAATTAAGTTGGGAGCTTGCTCAATTGCTTATAACGTAAAAAGAAATAACAGTGGCTTTAGATAAATTAATTCAATATAAATTACGACTTTACAGCTCTACAGCCATCAACAGTTCTGATTTACAACACAAGTTAACTTTTATCTTAAAGAAAATTTATAGATACTAATGTAGCCTAATACAAATTATATTTTAAACTCATTAATCACGCACAGGTTATAACATCTTACTAAGACGAGAAACATTTTATCGAACCCATAAAATATAGCAGCTGCGATTTTCACACGAACCAGAGCACTTAGCATCGAAGCAAGTTTACATTTTGTAGCTCAAATAAATATGGAATATAGTAGGGCTTATGTTAAATGCCATAAAATGTTTTCATAGACACCAATATAAGGACACTGAATAAGCATACCTTATTTTAAGTTTGGCATTGTTTTCACTGCTGCGAAACATGTCCAGAAATGACTACTCTATTTCTGCGTTTTTCAAAGAAAGAGTGGTCTTTCTTACTTTAACAATTTTGCAACACGCCCGTAACTTCCAGAGGTATAAGAGGAGTAGGTAGGTATAAGAGGTGTACCTCTTTTCTGGTCCTATCTGAGTGCGTGGGTTCGAATCCCACTTCTGACAAACTTTTTTAATCAGATAGCAGCAACCGATCAAGTCGAGGTTCGGTCCTCTCGGGCGCCCTTGAATCGGAATGCTAAACGCGTATTGAGTGACAGCCCAAGCCGAGGTCCCCCCTCGGAGGCCCTTGTGCCTAGTCACTCCATGGAGCGTCCACCGAAGCGACCTAAGAGCTCGGTGGCCTCCCAATTCGATAATAATAACGAAGTAACGGCTCGTGCCGAGGCTCCTGAGGGAGCCTTCGAGCTCAGTTACTCATAAACGAGGTTTAGGCTAAGCGCCATCTACGCTCGGCCACCTCAAGCCCGGTGAATCTGTAAATGCCTCTTCAAGGCAAACAGTGGCCATTCAGTCACAAAAAAAAGGTGTACCTCTTTCTACTTCTACAATATATTTACACATATATTGCACGTTTTATTTTCATTTAACATTGGCCTATATGAGTATAACTATCACCAATTTGGGTGGTATCTGTCTAGGACGATCCCGACCAATGCAACTTTATTTTGGGAAATCCTTGTTTAATCTTTCATACTCGTCATAGTCAATACGAATGCATCCAATATTTATTGTATCGCCAGTTCGGATATCTGTATTAAAACACCCGACACTGACCTTGTCCTGGATTCATTAAGTGCGTATTTCTTTCACGTGACCGCTTTCATCGTTTTAAATATCGTTTAGTATCTGTTATTGTTTTGTAATCCTATATATTGTCGTATATCATAATTTAACATATTAAATGACTGAGAAATTGCTCACGACTTTTAGAAAATCTGTGAATTTCTTTATTAAATTAGTTAAAAGTTCTAACTTCTGTCTTGGGACATTTTCTCATATTTCGATTGAAAACTTTGTTCCAAAAAACGTTTGTAGTGTAAATAAGAAGGAAATTGATTATGAAAATATTGAACCAACAATATTTATTACCACTCTATTATGATCCTAACTACACTGAGATTTATTCTAACCTAACCTATTTACAGTTAAAAATATTAGCATAACACTATATTTTGAATAATTTAAAGTAAAACTTATTAAAAGCCAATAAAATTGAAACGTAAAGGGCCAAACGTCTAGACTTATGTTGTAACAATTTCATATTTTAATATGGTAATTTCATTAAAAGTGTTATAAAACCAAACATGGCGGTAATTAAAATGTCTGTGTGCTATCGCGACGGTAAATTGGCGCCTAATGTAAATATGTCAATTGACTTTCTTAATTTAAATTTAATTATTAAAATCTCTTTAATAAGTACTAGTAATAATAATTTATGAAATATTAATTATTAATAAACATAAAATGCGATTAACAATAATCGGTTTAGTTGTTAAATATTTATAAAGAGATATGAATTTCGTATTCCTAAACTGCAGATTATGTATAATTTTGCTTGGAAACTATTAAATTTAAAAAATGTTAAAAATTAATAATAATAGCACGGTTCTATTAACATTATTTAGTTTTCCTTTATTTCACTGATAGCTAAGGTTGTGAAGAAAACGTTTATTTACACCTAAATACCAGTAAGGAATATAGAGCTCTTATTTATAGCAAGGAATTGATGTTGCGATGTTTAAAGGCATAGCCTCGGAAGCTATACATTAAAGCTACGGAAGTATAGGAACCTTAGCAAGTGACAGCAAGGCGAGCTACCATCTATTTCGCTTAAAACAATATGTAGCTTATTTATTAATAGTTGTAAGGTCAATTCATAGTTTAATGATACCAGATCGCCCACAGGCCATACCTGTACTATATTACATTGTAATCAATGCATTAACTTCAATGAAATTTTAATGCATACCGATACATAATTTCAATCAGAACGAGAACAAGTTAGAAGTTAATAATTACAGTAATACATTAAAATAAAGTGAGTACTTTAACTACCGCTGTCAGTTAAGAGATAAATTTAAAACGCACAGGTGTATTATTATTATAATTTTATAATAAAAGTGGAAACGCTGGCGGGAATAGGAAAGTGATTAACGATACGTGTACAAATTACGTATATGTCTACTAAACATATTCATAGACTAGCTGTTGCTGGCGACTTCGCCCGCGTGAAGTTATAAAGTAATAAAAAACGTAACCTATGTTACTCACTCACTGATAACGTAGCATTTTATTGGTGAAAGAAATTTTGAAATCGGCTTAGTCGTTTTTGAATTTCTTCAATACATACAAAAATATAAATCTTTTCCCTTTATAATATTAGAATAGCTAAACCATGATATATTGTAGATGTATTTCCGAATTCCGAATCGCTAATATAGCTTGCCTTAGTGTGGATTGTTTTTAAAAAGTCTGCACTAATGGACTGCTTAACTAACCATTGACTGAGAGTCGACATTAAACCATTATTTTCCGCCATCAACAACTAATTTTGTTCCAAACTGTTTGCTTTTGTAGAGAACAAAAGCGCTTTGTATTAGTCCGTATTCAGAATTTTACAATGCTTTATGGGGGAAATTCTGCTCTCCACATTGTTAAAATATTTCACAATTAAATAATTTTACGTCTTGTTTTGTTTTTAAAATGACACGTTATATTATATTTCAGTAACGTTAACGAAGCTTTTTCGTGATGTTAACTTTTGTAGAATTGCTATTAATTGAAATATACCAATAAATTGCTTTTAATTACATATTCTAAAGCTTTTATTTAATAACAATAGTTAGTTTCTTAGTTCTCAGGTTATAATCATTAGAATTCATAATTATGCAGTTTGTAAAAACTTCAAAAAATAAATTATCGCAACTTAACATTAGTTGTTACTGTAAATAATGCCTTGATTTAATAGTTAACGATTCTGTTAGAGCGCGCACACCTTTGACTAAACTGTCGCACAACTGTCTAGTTGCGTTTCGATTGCTATTAGTTTATATGCAGGTGCGCACACTAATTTTGTGTCGAATAGTCGAATAGACAGCGAAACAATCGACAATCGCACAACAGTTGTGTGACAGTTTAGTAGTAAAACTAGTTAGACTTGCAATAATTATCAGATTTTGCACATTTTAGTTTCCTTATTTATTATTAATTAACTTCCTTAAGACAAGATATTTAACTTGCCAGTGGTCCAATTGATCCCGGAAGCGTTCGGAAGGTTAACGCAAAGTAAATGCTATTTATACCGGAGGCTGTGTTGCGCGCGCGCAGTTAACGTTCTACTGCGCTGTGATAAGTGACCGTGACTTTTGTGAATATACGTGAGTACTTAGTGATATGTGTTATCGGATAATGTAATTTTGGCGGAAGTTATGATCGACTAATGATTTTTGAATTTTGAATTGAAAAACTATTAGTATCGAAATTTACGTTGAAAGAAATCGTTTTCATTTTTTAAACTAGCTGTCGCCCTCGACTCCGTCCGCGTAGGATAAAAAATAGGATAAAAATAAACAAAAGCGAGTAGCCTACGTATTCTTCCAGACTATCTTCTACATCTATACCAAATTTCATCGAAACCCGTTCAGCCGTTTTGGCTACAAACTCTGACAAACATTCATCTATACATCTAAACTTTCACACTTATAACATTAGTAGATAAGCGTGTGTTGCAACAAAAAAATGCGATATAATTAGCACATCATAAATGTTACACCTCTATATAAAAAATACTGCAGAGTTAAGTCATATATATTTAAAAAGCTTATACAACCAATAAGAAATCATTAAGTTGCCCTTAGGTAGCATTTAGCGATTCTGCTCACGACAATAAGACTGTCTGTAAGTTGTTATTTTTAAAAGAAACACTTTAAGGACTAAAGTTGGATTATTATGAGTCAGGACATGTGACTTACGATCCTGGCTTATAAGTCAAGTGGCTTTAAGTTTAAGTGTTATGCAACTGGAGCAAGGAGTAGGTGTAGACACGCGTCTCTTTGCATTAAGGTCACGTGCGCACTGAACAAGGCTGAGTTCTTTTTATTCTTGTCGTATTTACGGCAACATAGGAATGTTACATCATTATACAGATATTTTTGTTTACATTTAGGTTCTAAAATCAACTAAGAATAGTCTAGAAGAATATACTACAGCTCAGACTTTTTAATTCCGCGTGGTTGAAGTCAAGACAGTTAGTTAATCACAAGTAAAATAAACAAAAGAGATAGTTTAAATAACTTGTTTCTAGAAAAGCTATTTGTTAGTTAAAAAAAATACATCTACTATTTTTTAATTTCCACAGAACAAGAACCAATTATTACATTCTGATACAATTAATCCTAACTTTTAAATTTCCAGCTAAAATGCGTCGCATACTCTTAATTGGTGCCATCATTGTGATGACGGAGGCAAGACCTGGTCTTCTCTTCGCTGAACCATTACAACCATTAGGAATCCAATATGCCCACCCATCAGCTCCAGTTATCCATGCTCATCCTGCCGTGGAACTAAACGCTGCCAGTGAATCTCTGTTACCACCGGATCTACTGAAGTCGAAGCGATTTTATGACAATCCAGCTATCGCTGCAGGCTTGGCTAAAGAATCTTGGTTCACGAATAAGGAGATGCAAGTAGTAGAAAGAGAAGCGGAGAAGATACCAAGGGAAAGGATTTATAAGATTGTTAAAAGTGCTGGATTTTTAGATAACCATTAGTATTTTAGTTTGGGTAGAGACCCTTGTATATCTATTGCTGTCTCTATTTTGTCAAAGAAAAAAGAGATGACAATATATATGTACAACGGAGAGACGGAATAACACGACATTTTAAGGACTCAGTTATGTTTTTTATTTATGTTTAAATTTACGTAAGTATTTTAAATTTCACAACTACAATATAATTATAATTTATTATTTTAAGTAGATATAGATTGTGTAAAATAGTAATTATCACAAGTATAGAGTGCTGACACTCTTCATTCTTATAAATATTTAATTTTTATATCTGTAAATAATCCGTATTCAAAGTCTTAATATAACCATAACTTTAATCTTAAGTAGGCACTTGTAAATAAATTGCACATATAAGTAACGTCACCTTGTATACCTTTGTAATTATATAAATTATTATCTGATAGTGAATCTAAGTCATATTAAATTAAAATTTACGTATGTACTAATGTTTAACATAATGGTGGTTGGTGTTTACGATATGTCATATTAAGTACAGTTTTATTTTTTATTTAAGTTGTAATGTATATGGCCATATTTATTACTATTAATTTTCATTATTATATAGGGAATTTAAAATATATGTTTAAATAATTGTTAAATTTAAATGTACGTACTGTGATCTCGAAGCAATAAGTAAGTGTTAAGTTATTGTTTCATGTTTATCGAATTAATTTATTTTAAATAAAATTGTTTTGATAATTCATTTGTTTTCATACTAAGTTATTTTTCATACAATCTTCACCGTAGAGCGGTTTCTTGAAACTTCGACCACGTTTGCATGTCACCCAACATTCGTGAGCTGGTTTTTGAATGAAATCTGAGAAACAGATGTCCCATCAAAATATAATACTTTAAATGACTTTGCATATAATTTTTTTCTACTAATTTTAAAAAAGAAACATTTTAATTTGTTGTTTTGTTAAGTAAATCATTACTTAACGCCTTTGTATAAACTTAATCGTCAATTAAGCAATCCTTAAGTGATATTTTTATTACTTTAATCAAATCTTGTTTCTCTGAAGTACAATTATTTATATTCTCTGAGGCGTTTACTTAGCTTCGATGAAAATGGCAACGGAAATTGTTTACAAGTTAAATCGACAATTCCAAGAAAGACAAAGAAGTTCAAAATGTTTCAATGAAGCCTGTTTATTTAAGTAATATTACGGAGAATGTGGGGGCGGGAGACCACTGAAACGTGAGCTTTATGGATTGGCGGTTAACGTTTGTTTGTGTTATATTACAGGACGATATATTAGGTCTAGAATTGTTGGTTTTCCTGGGAAAAGGGACATGGTATATCGGAAGCACTTAAATATCACAAAGGGGTTGTGAGTAGTTACTTTCCAGAACTGTTCTTCAATTTAGGATCAGCCAAGACATCATACCTTGGGTATCAAAAATAGTAAGTCAAATCCCTTAGGTTTGTTACAATGCATAAAATTTGAACAAATTACAGAGAAATTTTTAACAATCATTCAATGTTTGTCGTTTTTTAATTGTGATTATGATGAAATGATACCGAAAATCATCGATATTTAAATGGGAATGCTCTAAAACTCCAATTTCATGGTCACCCTACACGAAAGTTACACGTGTTTTCATAGGCACGAGTAATTTAAAGTGGGCGGGAGAATTTCACTTTGAAACTAGGAAATTCCACGTGCATAGGATAAGCATACTTTATTAAACTATAATTTTAAAGAGTTTTTTTATTAGTATAAGGTCACAAGCAAACTGCCACTTGATTTCCCTAAAGTAGCGATGTTGGAAGTGTAAATTTAGTAGTATTTTACCCTCAAGTACCTTTTTTACTATCACAGTTGAACTCGTGCATGTCGCATGTGTCAATAAATGTCCTCATCTCCCCGCAGTCATCGATCCCGCACACGGGGACTTGGTCGTGCCGGCAGATGTCCGCGATCTTACATTCTTCTTCCAACTTTAGAGAAAAAATTAACAGTTACTAAATACATTTATTTTAAAATGGCACAAAACAGATTCACTACATGTAGATCGTAGTTTCTTGTACCTATATGACTGTAAAACACCATTATAATAACTTTCTAAACTGTTACTTACTTTGTCATTACCTAGCGATTCATTAGTTGAGTTACTCTGTTGAAACGTAGTTCAACCTACAACTCAAGGTATGTAGTTCGAAAACGCCTTTTTTATCGAACCAAAAACACTAAGGGATGGTTAAAAGTAGTTGAGAAACCGGCCATCAGTCTCTCAGTTGTAAACAATAGTCTATCTAGTTTAAGTGAGTTATTTAGTGATCTCATAACGACTTTAAGTACAATAGTAAGGCATGTTTGAATTATGTACAAGTTTAAAAGTGCAATAATAAAAGTGGATCGAGCATAGACAAAAGGCCAGTCTGCACGTTCTCGTATAGTACGTAAGGTCACTTAACCCGCTTTCATAACTGGGTATTCCTCTTTTGGCACGGCGTTCAGGTCGTCCGTTGGAAATTGGAACAAATCATTTCGTAATAAAAGTTGTACTACTGAACTAATGAAATTTGGCTTGCAGACAAATATTACTGTTACATGCAAAATATTTTAGTGTGCCATTTTGTAATGTTCTTTTAATTAAGTACCTAGTACTCTTTCTGTCAATATTAGTAACATTGAGGAATTGTTTTCTTTTGATTGTTTACATTCAGTTACATTGCTTTTTCATCTTTGTTTACGTGTGATGTTATATTTATAGTTACTCTTTGACATACTATAAAAGCAAAGGCTTTGAAACATTTTAATACTTTAAACATATTAAATTTCTTATTAAACCTTAATTTCTTTGAATAACTTTTCTTAGACCCGTCGTCTATCCCACCAACGCAATCCTCCCACGTTGAAAACTCTATTTTATAGTTCACTGACTTTCTAGGTAAGACAAGATAATATAAAAGAAAAAAGATTAAAACGGATAAAGGTTAATAAAAAGAACACTGTTTAAATATTGTTAATGCCCGCGACTCCGTCCACTTGCAAGAAAAAAAAGGAAAGTGAGCCTATGTGTTCTTCCAGTCCATCCACTATATCTATACCAAATTTCATCGAAATCCGTTCAGCCGTTTAGACTACAAACTCTAACAAACATCCATCTAAACTTTCACATTTATAATATTAGTATGATAGAAAAAATTACCTTTGCACTGTCGACATGGCAGTCGCAGCCGCGGTTAAAAAATAGAAATATAAAAACTACAAAAACAATGTGAGAAAACATATCATGCCACAAACATTTCACATATTGTTACATGTTATTACTTGACTTGTATTATATGTTGTAAAATATCTGTCTACGATATTTCATTTGTATTTTATATACAAATCTAGCTGAAATTTATTTGATACGATTGGTTTTATTTGGTTTGCATGAAGCAATAAATAATTTCTAATATGAATGACTTATTTTAGGAATCTTACGTTTCAATGCTTCTAAACTAATTTTAAAGTTTATTACTATTTGATGAAAAGAGTCACTGAATTATTAAATACGAAGCAAATGCTTATCCTTGTGATAGACAAAGGTATTTGACTTAGTTAAGTCAAAGACCTTTGCGAAAAATAAGTGATTTAATGATAAAATAAAATTCTGCCATTTAAAAATAGCAAATTTGCTTTTAAGGTTTGTGAAATAAGTCTCACAGGCGTTGCAATGTTTTTTGTGAAAAATGTTTGCTAGAAATCATTGTAAGAAGACAAATTATATATTTAATTGTTTATTTAAATCTTTTTTAACGTTAACAAACTATCAATTAATAAATTAAAGTCTATTAGCTTTAGCATTAAGGTTGCAGTCGGTTCGGTATTCTGGTTTTTTGAAGGAGCGTCCCCTTTTACAAGTTACCCAACATTCGTGAATGGGACGTTGTTTGAAATCTGTAAATTAACATGATATATTGAGAAAAATAATAAATTTGTCACATTATATTTTTTGTAAGTAAAAGAAATATAAGAAATCATATATGAAGAGATACCTTTTTTGCTATCACAGTTAAATTCATGCATGTCACAAGTATCGATGAATGTTCTCATTTCGCCACAGGAGTCGATGCCGCACATCGGAACTTTGTCGTGCACGCACAGATCCGCTATCTTACACTCCTCTTCGTTCTGGCAAACAAAATATCATTAACTAGCTGTTGATCATGACTTAATCCGCGTGAAATTAATAGCGTTCATTACTCATAGATAAATTACCTTTCTAACGATGAATTAATTTTAATAATCAGCCCAATAGTTTTTGAGTTTTTTTTTTTATAAACACAACGATACATATATTTCCTCTTTATATTAGTACAGATAAGCCAGAATCAAAATCTTTTAATGTTTTTTCTAATATTCACAGGAAAGGTGTAAAGCTAAAAACGCCAAAAATACCTTTCGATAGCGAAATCTCTTACCTTTATAGATTCGCTATGTCCTTTTACTGTACTTGTATATAATAGCAGAACTAAAATTGAAAAAAAAATAAATATGACAGAAAACTCATTAAGCCTTACATCAAAACATAGACAGTGTGCAAAATACATTATACCTTAAAGATATTTCAACCCTCTAGGCCAAGACTAACATCCTGCGCGGATTTTCGACAAATCATGGTTATTGAAACATTATGATTAGGTTTGCGAAATTCGATCTTTATCAGTAAACAATGACGCTTATACCGAAAACAGTGTGGTATTAAGTATTTATGATAAAACATATAAGAATGTTTATGTCTCTAATATACAGCGGGAGTTAATATACCACCTCCGTGTTCTCGTCGATCGTTTGCCCCCTTTTGTTATAAAAAAATTTAAAACACGTGTTCAACTAAACAGTGTCTTACAATCTATTTAGGGTAACAACTATTCTCAAAAAAGGTTAAAGATCGTCTCGAATTTCATACATTATTGTAATAAAAAACATTAAGTTACTTACTAAAGATAATGAACATATTGTGTTCATTCTTATAAATATTTATTTCGAAATAATGTTACGTTATAAAGGAACACGGGTATGGAATACTTTTACGGCATCGTTAAGTTCGCGAACTAGTTTTATAACGCAAGCGCAAACAAATTCCATTTGCAATCAATATTTTAAGCCCGCTACAGACGTTCAGTTCTGACCGTTTTAACTGAATAATTGTTCTATTAATACCGTGCATCATTATAAGCTGCCCGCTGCTGGTCATAGGCAATGCAGTACACAGAATGCAAAATTGGAATTGTGCAGTTCAAAATTTGCCTACAGACGTTTTAACTAAATAAACTCTTGAGACAAACTGAACTCAGCGTATGTAGTGGGCCTTACGTGTTCTTATATTAAATTGGAGATTTGAAAAGTTTTCGCGTTTTCATTGAAGAAGTGAAATAGGTGTAGTTTTGAATAGCGAGATTTAAAAATGAGAATTGTTGCAATTAGAGATATTTTACTAAATCAATACTAATATTATAAAGAGGAAAGATTTGTATTTTTGTATGTTTTAAAATAACTCAAAAACTACTGGGCTGATTTCAAAAAGTCTTTCACCATTAGAAAGGTCATTTTTCAGTGAGTAACATAGGCTATTTTTCTTATTATTATTTTAATTTGACGAGGGCGAAGTCGCGAGCAACAGCTAGACTTAATAAATGTCTTTTTAAAAGACGCTGAGTTAGTTTTAATTTATTACAATAAGTATAAAAGTTAAATGAAATTGAATATAATGGATAATTGTTTTAAGAAGAGTGTTTAGGAATATATCCTTATGGTATGTTTAAAGTGATTAAAATTCTACATGATTATTGCGTAAAAAGTTTCAATAACTTCTTGTTCTCCCTCTTGACACCGTGTCTGAGAGGGCATGACGAACAGGGCAGGTCTTATCGACTATTTATTAACAAAAAGGCGTATCAATGTCACTAATTAAATCACAGGCAGCTAATAAATCACACTTTGCCTATTCTACTACACTTTCACCTTCTTGATACTTTAAATTTTAATTATTATAAATCTATAGATCAATATGTATTTGTCAAAGTATACCAGTAACGGTGATTATTTACTGAAGCAAGATGTACGAAAATATATGGTTACCTCCTTGAAAAAATTATGATAGCAATATACATGGCGGCGGATATCTGTATCTGCGGCAATAATTAATTAACAGATTACTTCCGTAAAAATAAGATATGTAAAAAAACTGTTTGTTTAAATGAAAATAATTCTGTTAAATGTACAACATTCTGGGAGTTTATTATGGGTGGCAAAAAAAAATTAAGTATCAAATACATTCGTGGAACTACACCATTATGACCGCTATAAGTTGCACTTACTTTACACGCTAATCTAATTGACGAACACTCTACTAGCGTGCGGACATTATGAGGCAATTAACACTCGGTAAGGTACCTTCTTGTCGCTACTTATAACAATAAAACCATTTATAATTATCATACTAATTATTTAAAACATTTCAGCCGCAGTTCTTCTAACTTTAGTAGCCAACGCATTTCAAATTGAAACGCTAGAAGATGTCTTAGTATACGCAGTGGAACCAGCAAACGTATGTATTACAGTCTAAAATTACATAAAAAGTTATACTTCCTCCTAAGATTTTTGATTATTTTGCCAGAAAATTCAAAAACGTGAAGTAACCGATACAACTAAGAAAAAACAAAACTTTAGCCAATTCAAAGAGTTTGTTGAGAATAAATTGATTCAACATACACAAGCTTTGGAGCATTTGGTAAAACTAGTACAAATGAATGAGGAGACGAGTAGACAGCTGCTTGAAAATTTGAGCAACAATGTTGAGCAGCCGAAACTGCCAGAAAAGATAGAGGTACATCAGCAACGTAGACCTGTTCATTTAGATGAACCTGACCATCCTATACTAAGATTGGGCAAAAATGTCACTAAATACGGCAAGTTAATCGGCAATATACTTATAAGTGAAATAAAAAATCACACCGATCCTATACCAATAATTGAAAAAGAACCCAAATGACCTAATTGATCATAATTTAAATCTTTTTGATAATAAATCTTTTATCTTTGAATGCTTTTTCTTTATTTCCTACTCAACTTTATCTTCTTTATTACCCTTCAATTTTTAAATTCCTCACTTCTAGAATATAACAATTTACATGTCAGAAAAATGCAGAAATGTCTTAGATCGGACTCTATTTACCACATTTATCGTTTGTCTTACTTGATATTGCCTTTTCAGGTAGTATCACGTCGTTCCTTCAATGATAAACCAGTGTTAGTGGCAGATGGTCCGAATAAAACGATAAGTCCATGGTGTGGGGTGGCCATATTATGTCACAGAACATATTCTCCAGTTTGCGGATATGACGATAACTTTGGTTATGGAAAATTCGATGATGTTTGTCATATGCTTCAAGTTAATTGCTATTGGAAATACAGTAAGTAGACCTTTTATTGTTTACTTTTTAATTAAGTTTTCTGTTTTTTTTTTATTTGTAATTTTTAAATTTATTTTCAGATTTCGCTCTCGTACCATCATGTCGGCCGATAATGTAATTTGAAAGGTTTTAATAGTGTTAATAACTTTATTTCTTTATATATTATTTTATAAATATGTGTTTATATTAAAAGTAATTTTATATTGATGTGTTTTTATCCAATGCCCGGCCCCAGTTCCTTTTGATTCGGACAAATGTCCTCATCTTCTTTCACGTGTCTGAAAACTAAACGATTATCTTTTTATTACCAATAGAAACGAACATTTAGCATAGATTTAAATTCATTTGTGTCGCATAAACTTCTACGCTTTTTGTTTTTTTTTTTAAATAAAAGAAAGCATAGGATACGAAATAATTGTGCAGTTGTCTACGTTAAACTTTGCGATAAATTCTCACATTCGTTAGTGTCAAAAATTTGTTAAGTATTACCATAATAAGACTTTATTACCCATATTATTTTCGCAGGAATATTCGTACATATCGCAAAGATCTATGAAAGTTCTCGCTTCGTTAACAGATTTCCCGCAGATAATGACCGTGTCATGGAAACATGTGTAGGCGTGGTCACACAGTTTCTTTAGTTCCGCCTGGAATTAAACATAACATTTAACAAGTCACATAACCAAAAAGAGTATAGCTTAATTATAAACTTAAAAGTTTAAGAAGTACACAAGCCTAGATATAGTACGTTACTACAAAAAAGGACGTAACATAAGCACAAAGTTTACATATAATTGCACAGGCATTTTTGCACAAGCACAGTTAAATTATTCACGTTAATCAATGCAAAAATTCTATGAATATTTAATAGAACATCTAAAAGCACAAAATAAGGAAAGAGACAGTAATTTTGATTTTAATTTTTTTAAGAGACTTACTACATTCGTTCTATCTCCAACAAGATGTGACTTTACCGATAGTATTAAAACATTTACAAAGAACAATGTTCGTATAAAATACATGAGTAATCCAGCAAATGTCTTGTCTGAAGTGTTTCTATACAAAATAATGTTAAAGTTCACTTGCAACAATCAGCGGATGTTTACAATGTTTGCGAATTTCATAAAGGATATTGTTGTTATATCAACGATCGAATAAACATAAGAATATTATTCCAGAAATAGATATTTTGTAAACATAATGAAGAGTCTGCTTTACTTCCTGTATAATATACATCTCTTTCAGACACTTCGGAACAGATAGAGACAGCGATAATTTTCATCTGCTTATGAAGTTGAAAACAACTTTGGGAAATAACGCGACACAATGAAATTGAAACGCCGTAATAAATTTCCATTTATTGTATTTAAGGTTTTCAGTTCCAGTTTTATCAAATAAAATTATAAATGTTTTTCAATATTTTAATACGTAGTTGTAGTCTGATGATTCGAAGTTTCCTGAAGGACGGGGATTTGGGGATTTTATATGAGAAAATTTGTATTCTTTAGTAAATTGAGTGCTTGTGGTATTTATTTTAGAATGTTATTTTACATTCTGAGAAATAAAACAATTCATTTAGTACGGGGTTAATTTTATTAAAACAAAAAGGTACAAGTTAAAACAGTATACAATTGGATTAAAATACTTTTAATAAAATACAAATTTAATACAATAAAGTAAATAGTGATTTTCATAACTTAAGTAGGAAAACATAAAGGATAACATAAATCGTAGATAACATAAAGTATACATGTTTATATTTTAATCATCATAGTAACTGTTTGTGGGCCGGCGCGACACGCTCAGTATTGATTTATCTTCGGGACAAGCCGTTTGCTTGTAATCTGGAAATTAAAAAAATAATAAGTATTCACATTCATATTTTATTTCACTTATTTATTTTCACTTTTACCATCAAGATCGTCTTTTGTTTTGCGCTTTTAAAACTCTAGGTTTTATTGTAATTCACACACGTAACTCTTTCTGATCGATAGGGTTATAATCGAGAAGGTAAAATAGTCCAATGTTTCTTTACCTAAACAATATAAAAACTATTACATAGCTTGAGTAGTAAAAGTAGGCACGCAGGAAAAATCATCATCCACTTGCCCTTATCCCTTATGAAGGGTCGGCACAGAATGTACTGCTCTTCCATACATCTCGCACGCAGGAAAAATAAGCACTCTTATTCTCGACTTGTACACTCAAATGCCTAACTTACTTCGTCGTCTAATGCAATTAAAGTCAAACATATCGCAAAGGTCCCTGAAGCCCATGATGTCGCCCGCGTGGCTGACTCCGCACACGGGCACGCGGTCGTGGTTGCATACCTTCGCCATACTGCACCATTTCGCACCCATCTAGTAGACATAAAGGTTTTATAAAATTTACACTTTGTAAATCTATTTGACGTCCGTTTCCTATGAAAAAAAAACAGAGGTATTTTTTATAACAAGTGTATGGGCACTTAAAATTGATGGCTGTAGAATAAAAATCTAACAGTAACAGGAGTACACATTCTTCCTATAAGGAATAAGGGAGGTTGTCGGACGGTAAAAAGATATCGGACGATATAATCCGAACAGGACCTCCAACTCCAATACCTAGTATATAATATTAGGAGACACAATATATAATATTTGAAGACGTAGGAGTGTCAACTTTTAGCTAAGAAACTAATAACTTTTCAAATTACAAAATTATATCAAACTCTACTGTATCCCAGTATACTGAAGTTTCTTATTGTTTCATTCTAAATGCATTGAAAACAGGAACATTGTCGGGAAACTGGTTAAAGTTTAATAACATGGAAATTGAACACGCTGTATAACGCACGGAAAATTTACATTGTTTTGTTTTTGCGAGCAACCAATTTGTTTTGCAACAAATTTTAAGAAAACATCTTTAAATGTTATAAAAACTTAACTAACTAAGAGAAGGGACCAAACGATAATTCTGAGGTTATAATCGACCCTAAGTCGTACGTAACTGAAGTGACCAAAATGTGTGTCAAAACTTTTTTACCTTGCGTCCCATAACAATATCCTCGTTGTCGCGGTCCCGAGGTGGTCCGTGAGCAATCGTCATCGTCAGCCAGAACAATAACACAACTGCAAGACATAAGCGTTCTTAGAAAAATAAATTAGCTCGCAAAATACCTTAATAGGTTTCAAAATTTTGTAGTCTATCTCGTAACATCATCGTCAGCAGCTCACTAGTCGTCTCCACTAAGGAGTTTTCTTTCTTTTATCTGTATAATATTGGTAAACTAAATATTTTACATTTACAAAATGCTTTGTGCCTTCAGACTTGTGCGTGGGTGTAACAAGTAAGAAGATGTTCTAATTTAATAAATATTTTCAAGTAAAGGTCACTTATTCTCAAATTAATTATGTATCTACTGATTTAAATTTACATTGTATATAGTAAATGTATGAGCTAATTAGATTATTTATTAAGACGCTAAAATTTTTCAAGGTTAGTAAAGATTTAGTAAATAATAAATTAAAAATATTAATGTGTTACCGAAACTTTTCACGTCCATTTCTTTTGCTTTTCCGTCGTCTTAACCCTTTGGTAACTTGGTTATAAATGATAGAACAAGTTACCATAGTGCTTCAGGTGTTTACAAACTTTGTCTATTGTTACTTGGAACACCTAGTTTGTACAAACTTCCTACGAAGTAAATAACTGCTACATAGATTGTTGATGGAACAATGGTGTCGCTTTGTGCTTAGATAGGAGGCACGTGTTTACATTTATATTCATATGTTTCTCGAAAACCTGCAAGAAAAAATATATTTACGTGTCTTTTAATAAGTTCCTATAACTAAAGACAGAAACTTTTAGTTCAATAAGCTATTTCCGTACATCTGAAACTAACACAATTGTTTAATCTCTCTTTGAGTCCTTTGAATGAAGGTGCGCCACGACCACTACTCTATTTTTAATTGTGCAACCCAACAGTTGAACTGGCTGCGAAACAATCGACAATCGCATAACAGTTGTGCAACAGTGAAGTCAAAGGTGTGCGCCCATTCTTATACTACAATGGTCTGAAGTCCTTCGTTCAAACCTAGGATTGTTTTGAAAATGTGATATTATAGCCCGGGCGTAGTGTTAATTAAAGTATCTATTTAATTCTTTTTGCACAACAATTAGTATACATATAACGAAACTAAGCTGAAGTAGTTAATGATCTCTTGACGAATTCGAGTCCTTCTTATCTATGACAGTATACTTACGTGTTTTGTATTCACAATTAAATTCTAGAAGATCGCATAAATCTAAGAATCTTCTAACTTCTCTTGTTACAGGATTCAATCCACAGAGACGTCTTTTATTGTGAACACACACGAACGCATCAAGACATGTTCTCTGGAAAATCACAAATTAAACACTACAGAGAAACACACGATTTAAACGAAGTTATTTAGGCATAAAAATAATTACATTCCTGTCATTTTCTAGTCATGATAGTGGGAAATCACTGTTTCTATTGAATTTTTCATCTTATCAGATTTTTTTTGTTGAAAATAAGGTTGCAAACGAGCCAGCGACCACCTGAATCCACCGAAATGGAGAGCGACCGCTGCCCATAAACATCCGCCAGCATGCGTTGCCTACCCTTAATTAACGGAGGTGGAGACGCACATAAAGAGGACATTTCCCCTTCCTTTGCGTCCCCTCTACCGTCAAATCCACTTTTCCTTCCCATCCTTTCATCTCAAGAAAAGGGTGGAAACGGAAAGGAACTAAAATCAGGCCTCCGACACCACACTCATCAGACGAAACGCGGAATTGCTTCCACTTCACGCCTGTTTTCTGTGTGGTTGTGGTATTACACCGGGCGAGCCGGCCCATTCGTGCGAAGATGTTAAAGCGGACTCTACCACTGTTAGATTTATTGTTAAGGATAAAATGGTAGGTACTTTTAGTCCAGGATAATGTCTATTTAAAGTCCTTACTTTTTTTCGTAGTTGGCCGTCAGTGATGTGTGTAATTATTCCGAAATATATCAACAGTATATACGTAAAAGTACATAGAGTTAACATCTTATTATTACACGAGATTAGTAGTATCTTGGACGCTCAATACGCAAGTATCTGTATTCAATTTTATACTCGTATAAATTGGTACTTATATAATGCAATATAAAAAAGCAATGAATATAAAATTCAATCGGAAATTTAAACATTTTCACATTAAATTTATCACCAATAAATTTTGAAAGTGCAAAATTTTAACACTTTACTCTTGAATTTCAAAATGTTCGACAAAAATGTATTACTAGGTATAAATATTTATTTACACATTGTTAAAATAATTAAATTTACAAATAATCTGTATTAATTTTCAGGTTTACAAGTTTTGGTTATCGTCTGCATATCTACGATATCTAGCGAACCGGCTGGAAGGGTAATACTGGTTTAATTTAATTTTTATGCACTAAAATGACATCTAAACAAGAACACAAAATAATAAAGTTCTTACCTCATACAACGTAGTTCTTATCGTTAAGTACGAAGCGTAATAACAGTCATATAGAAGAAAATTAGACCGCAATTCATTTCAAATAAAGGGCACAAGCATTTCCCATATTTATGTGGCCATAACTAACTAAATTATGAAAAGTCTCACACTTATTCAAATTCTAGACAATGGCCTTCACTTCGTGAATTGGAGTAGTGTTGATTTATACTATTGATATATAAACTAATCGACTACTTAACGAATACAAAGTAAAATTTAATTTCTTGTCCGTTTTATCTTTGTCAGGCTTGTTATCATGCTAAGGTTTGTGTTCATAACGCTGTGGAGAAATGTGGTATTGATTCAAAAGGGAAACTAAGAAGATTCATCGACTCCTGTGATATTAAAGAATATAACTGTTTAAAAGGAACTGGTGAGATTTTACATAGTTTAGTCTTTCTATGAGATTAAAAAAATCTTGAGGTAAATACGAGTAAAAACATTTCAGATTTTGAGAAGACACTTTTGGAGAAATGTGCATCACTTCCTTCACCTAAAGAAGATCGTAAGAAAGAGGAAAAAATGAAAGCGACAGAAAACGAAGAAGTTGACAGTCATACACAAGAGAGCTCCGAAACAACAACAAAGAAATCAAATGCGAGCAAAAATCAAAATGCCAATTCAAAGAAGAAGAAAGTTAAAGAAGAGAAAAGGGAAGAGAATTTGAAAGCAGAACAAGAGGATTCAGCAAATACTGATCAGGAACATGAATCTGTACCACGAGCCAACGTTGATCAAGCGAATGGAGCTTCAGAAGAAAATGAAAGGAAAAAAAGGGGACCTGAAAGAAAAGTTAAAAATAAAAATGTATCGAAATCTCAAACGAATGTAGAGAATGATGGTGCTGATTCTGAAGCCAATGTTAAAGATAATGATAATTCTCAAAATAATGATAATGAAAACGACGAGCATGACGAAGAAGTAAATAATGATAGCAAAAAGGATTAAATAACGATTAATACAAAAAATTATTAAATATATTAGTATCAGTTTAACTTGTCTAAAGTATATATGTGCAAATATACAATTAAAATTTTATTTAGTTACGAATTGTTTTTTCGCTTATCCTTCTAATATAAAAAATATTTCAACCTTTATTCCTTTAATTATAACCAGGATAAGTAAATAATTTTATGTCAATTGAAGTAATGGATAGATGGAAGACATGGATGTTTCAGCTATGAAAATTCATAGTTATTAAGAAACAAGATAATAAATAACTTAGTGAGATTATGAACAAATTGATGAGAAACTAATTGTCAAATTTCTTCAATTCAGTATTCACGACATCCATTCGTTGAAAAGTATTGGTGTTGGAGAGCGAGGAATTGTAGAGAACCTAGCGAAGTAATCTGTGCAGTAGATATAAGGAGAAACGTTAAAACTACATTCCCGGACGATTGTAATATGTATATGTACAATTGCGAAAATAATCACGGTTAGTTAAAATTATAAAGATATTTTTAAATTGATCTTACGAGGATCGTATGCGATGTAGAAACTCTTGTGTAATACAGTATTTGTTTTAGATTTCACTGGGACTGATATGTCAAAATGTTCACGTTAAATATTTAAATCGTCAAAACTTGAAAGTCTTTGAAAGTAACATCGAAAATACTGATCGGTGTTTGTAAAAATACAGATTTCGCGTGCGATTTTTTAATGAAATAGCCAATCATATAGAATTCAAATAGAGATATAAAACTTTAAAGTATACAAAAATAGTTTTAATAAACCCGTATTAATAACCACAAAAATATTAATTTATGAAAGACTAGCTTTTGTCCGCGCCTTTATCCATGCGCAATTTAAAAAAAAACTTAGTAGCCTATGTGTTCACACATACTATGTTCTACATCTGTCATCATCATCATCATCATCTCCCCTGCCTTATCCTACTCCCGTAGGGTCGGCGCACCGGGTTTTCGTCCTCCAAAGGTATGTATGTACATGCTATGTCCTACATCTGTGTTAAATTTAATCGAGATCCGTTGAGCTTTTTTGCAAATATGTATGAATTAACAAATATTCAACCATCGCAATTAGCGAATTATTAATTTTAAGTAATTATGATTGTCAGTTATCTTTTTTGGTTTGCTGAAGTCAATATCGTGGCATTTTTTTATACTTTTTAATACACCGCCATCTATTTATCTATTCCTTTACTAAAGCGTCAAACCATGTTTGTGATGTAGACCGTATTTGGTTGTTAAAACATTATATTTTCATAAGATGGCATTGTAGTACTTACTTTAAAGTAAATGATAGTTTTATCTGCTTGTTGTTTTCTTTTTTAAATTAGATTTGTAAAGATTTACGTACTATGTAGCTTAAACTAAAAAAATCGGACAACATCATCAAAAAATAGGAGCTGTTATATGCAGTAACAAAAATACAAAAAACAAATGAATTGGCAATCATCTCCTTTTGGGAGTTAAAAATGCCTATTTGTAAAAATAGAAACTACATCTACGATATCGATAACCACACATTTTTCCTAATTGAATAGAACGAAACATTGTGAACTATCTTATATAGTCCTATCTGAATTAAACTTACTAACTAGTTGTTTATAATACAATACGTTTCTATGTTTCACGTGCGTAGAACTGCGAAATAGTTCGCAACGAGACCAAACTGTTACCTTTTAAAGTGAAAATGTCAGCTTATTGTGTTCGAGATTAGATAGTCCGTAGTCCGCACCCACTTCACCTGCTTTTCTCACGATGCCCATTGTCTGGATGACGTAAGATCGCCGTTTATGTAGTGTCCAACATTCTGAATGAGACTTTAAAGTTACTTGATCCTTATAGTAACAAGTAGATATATTTTTTATTTAAATTACACAGAAAATGAATCCCTAAAAGTGTAATGCATTTTAAAAAGATGTTTTTTTCTTATACGACTATAAGAGAAAATTAAGTTGGTTACCAAGTAATGTTCGTGGATGGTTTTGAGACGTGTTTTGCACTTTAGAATAACTATAGTTTTTGCTTACATTTCATTACAAGTTCAGTAAAAATGTTAGAGTGCCTTAACATTTG